ATTTAAAGTCCCTACCAAAACATTGCTAGAGTCTCAGGTAAGCCAAACATCATTTATCAAAGCTTTGCTTATCTTCTTGGTATATCTGGCTCTTTACCAAGCCTTTAATACTAAGGTCTATCATTTCTAAGCCATTCATTCACCCAATCATAGTGCTAAAGATTAATTTATTTTAATGAAATTATAAACAAATCCCTTCCCTACCTGAAAATCTTTCTTGCCAATATGATAATTGGCTCATGTGCTTTCCTCACATCACCTCCACCTACTTCTCCAACCTCATCTGCTATTGCTCCAGACATACTTTGTGATTTACAGTGTCTTATAAAGTTACTGCAATCCTCCCATACCTGAGCAGATGTCTCTCCTCTAACAGAAATGTATTTCCTCCTCTCTTCTGGCTAATGGATTTCTACTGATGTTTTTATCCCAATGTACCTGGAAAAGCCTTCCCAGAACTGACAATAGAGTCAATAGCCATCTCTCTGGACCACTCTTCTCCAGTAATACACTTGTCCTCTATTAGAAGGACTCACCACAGTCTGCTTCCCCTGATGAATCACAAGCTACTTCAGGGCAGAAACCTTGCCCTAGCTATCTTTATTTTCAAAGAGCCTGCATTAAGTAAGTGCTCAGTAATCCTCAGCTAACAAATGAATGAGAAAGGAGAAACAGCAAATAAACCAAAAGGTTACATTTGTTGCCTCTGGGAAGCAATTGGGAAGCAATTTTTTTATTGGGAAGCAATTTTTTACTCTTATTTTAAAGTACTTTGGGGATGTGACTATATTTGTCATATAATGGGAAATGTAATTTAAAATAAATATTTCTTTGTGTCTTAAATTTTCATTATCTGCTAATTCTAAAACTCTACACACCTGTGCCAGACTTGTTTCTATGGCCGATAGTCTATTTGACTTGAAATCATGTTTAGATCGCTGTACACATTAGCTAAATAAATATCATTAGTGAAGCTTCATTAAAGTGTATTTTTCTTAAATATTTCTCAGTTCACATATTTCTCAGTAAGTGAGCATCTATTAGAGTTTTGGCAAGGAAAATCTTCTAATGGACTCATTTCCATAGGTATATATTTCAGGCACTAACTGAAAGGAATAATAAAATTTTTTGCCATCTGGAATAAAGCAGTGATAAATACTAACCGACTCAAATAATATTGACATGCAAAAAGCTGCACTTCCGAATCACTAGTATAATTTCTATCTCCCACCTAGGATGTACTAAAGAATTGTTTTTAAAAGGAAAATAGTCAAAATAATCTGATAATCTTCTAAATATAATCCCCATTGAAGTTGAACAGTTTATCCTTTTTTGGTAAAGTTATGAAAATGCCTGCAGGAACTGTGGAACAAACATTTTACCTTTTTTCTTTTGCATGATTTAAATATGTTCTTTTACTCTGCATTGTCTAAATATGCCTTAGGTGACCACATCCAACTGGCACATTCAGCCACCAACACAGGTCAAGGCCACCAAAAATGCAAACAACAGACTGGAAATAAAATCATCAAACTCAAGTTGACACTGTTTTAGTAGCTCCAGAGATATTTGAGCCATGGCACAATCTATACCTATTGATCAGGTATAAATTGATTTTTTAGCCTGTGGTATGATGGTATCAGATTGTACTTCTCCACAAACATGTTTCTGTTTCTGCTTTGTGTAAGGTGGTTTATTCTGAGTTCAAGTGATGACATTATCTATGTCTAAATAAGAAAACCTTCCCTAGATGGACCTGTGCCTCAGACAGCCTGGAAAGACAGCACTTTCCTAATCACCCAAGGATGCATGCAAGAGTCACCTGAGAGGTAGCACAGCAGAAAAAGAATGTGAACCTGAGAGTCTCACAGACCTGGTAAATAAATTCCTGCAGTGACATTTCAAGGTCTGTGTGACAATGAAGTTACTGAGCCTCATTGAACCCTTTGTGATGGGCTGAATTGTGTCACCCCAAATTTCACATGATGAAGTCCTAACTGCCAGTATCTTGGACTGTGACATTTGAAAATAAGGTCTTGTACCAGTTGAGATGAGGTCATTATAGTTTGGACCCTAATCTAACACCACCGGTGCTTTGTAAAGTAGGGTAATGTGGACACAGAGACAAGAGGCTCACAGAGAAAGATGATGATGAGAGACAATGGCAAGCCGAGGAGAGAAGCCTGGAACGGATCTCCCTCAAGGCCCTTAGAGAGAACCAACCCTGCTAACATCTGATTTGAGACTTCTGGCTTCCAGAGATCTGTGAGACAACAAATTTCTGTGGTTGAAGCTCCCCCATTTGTGGCACTTTGTCATGACCCTAAGTTAATATACTTGGTTTCCTTGAATGTCAAATCCTAATGTGTACAAAGGATGTACTGTCATTAAAATAATTAAAAATTACTTGGTAGGGACTCAAAAAGGATAGACAATTCTTTTTAGTATATAGAATATGGTACTAGAAGCATTTTGCTTAATTTACTTGAATCTTGCTTCGCTCCCCATTCAGTGAGTCAAGTTTGTTGGACTCTGCACTCATAGCCTCAGAAAAATTGTTGGCAGAGCAGGGAATACAGGGGCGTGTCAATTGTTGGTTTTTGAATTTCAAAAGCGTAAGACCCTCTGGGGAGCTGGAATAACTCCCACACACTGAAAACAACAGACTCAAAAGATATCCTACTGTGTGTTAACTAAGCTATGAGGAAATACAGTTTCCTTTAAAAGAAAATAAGGTAGTCAGGGCCTGTAAAGACCTCAGTAGATCAAGAAGCATGTCTGGGTGCATGGATGCACCTTCACCCTCACCCTGCATCTCAACTTGTCCAGACGTTTGATTGGAAGATTCATCTGAGACAACTTCATTGAACAGGTATTAAATTCCAAAGTAAAGAGCCAGAAGAAAATCCAGATTTTAAAAGAAAATCATGAAAAAATGGTTGGATGGCTTTCAAACCCAACAAGAGAATGTTAAAAATTCAAAAGACTTGAGATGAGGAGAAGCTTTATGGAGAGGTTCTTGGCTTGTACTGCTGGCTTATGGAAAACCCCAACTCCCCCCAGGTGAGAGGGATGGGAAGATACTAGTTTTTCTAAATTGCTTACAAGAGCAATTTAGAGAACCAGCACATGTCCCCTGGAGTTTGAGGATTTCACTGGACTGCAGATCTGGCAATGACCTGACAAATACAGATGACAAGAGGGATGGAGTAGGGAAGCTCCGGAGTCTAAGCAGTACCTGTACCCTTCCTGCCTGTGTAAGTGCCTGGCTGCACTTTTTCAGGAAGCAGGTATTGGAGTCTGCCTGAAGTCCAGGATGACCATCTGGAATATCACTGATACAGCAAATGACAGTCAACATGGAAAGGACCAACAGACCCACAGGTACTGTGGAGCTGAGTGCATAGCTGAAGAAGAAGCCCTGTCCAAGTCAGGGGAGTAGGAGGCAGATGGGTCCATCAAGGAAGCCACCAAACGCTGCCCACCCCTGTAATGGCGGCCAAGTGAGGGTCAGTATTATACATCTGCTGGGTCCACAAAGCATGGAGGCAGATTGATAGACACCAATTCAAGAAAGAAAATTCGTAAGCCATGTGCTACTTCTTTCCAGTGGCTCAGTTCCACAGGGATTAGCAACAGCAGATAGATGACTGAAAATCAAGAAGATGTAGTATACGTACACAATGGAATACTATTCAGCAATCAAAAAAGATAAACTCATGCCATTTGCAGCAACATGGATGGAGCTAGAGAGAATTATGCTTGGTGAAATAAGTCACAAGGAAAAAGAAAACTATCGATGGTTTCACTTATAGGAGGAATATAGGGGAACCAAATAAGACATCGGGAGAAAAAAATAATAACAGTATAAAACACAACAAAACAAAACAAAAAAAACCAAACAGACAATTATAAAGCAGAGACATCCTGCAGGGGAGGAGGAGGGAGAGGGATCAGAGGGAAGGAGGGAGGAGCACAGGGGACTGTAGTGATGGTGCATGAGTGAACGAAATTCTATGGGGACTATACGTAGGTGGGGCGGGGGAGAAAGCAAATGAACAATGACGGAAAAAATATATTAAAAAATGAATGACAATGATGTAAAATATAAATATATACAATGATGTAAAATATATATATATATAAAATAAATAAATTTTTAGAAAAAGAAAGAAGAGGAAGAGATAGAAAGACAACTTTGAACCCTCTTCCATTGCCCTAGCCTAGGCCCCAAATGTGCCCAGAGAAGTGAGGGGAGATGATCTGGTATTCAGTTAGTTTGCAGGCCATGATTACAGTCTGAGATGGGACACTATCATTTCTGAATGGAGACTATATTGGTGATTTAAAATATCAAGAGAAAAATGTTTTGATTCCAAGAGTAATCCTATTAGGCACAGAGCCTGGAGACCTAAATGTCTGCTGTCCTTTCCTCTATCCATGTTAAAAAAAAGCTGGAAAAAATTGAATTTTGACTGATTTCCTAAGATACGTTTGTTCAAAGTACAACCCCAAATATGTTGGAAAAGATAATAGTCCAGGAAAGGACCTTTCTTGGATAGAGACTTGACCTTAGAAATGGCTTAGAAAGGGGGACCTGCCCAACTTTGCAAAGGAACTCATGTGATAGCATGATGTGGTGGCAACAGAATCAGTGCCATGGGCTTCAGAGAGGCATGATAGACCTCCTGTGATCCCAAGAGGTACCTAGAAGAGAAGGGGAGCAAAAGCTCCTAGAAGGAATATCAAGGTGTGGTCTGCAGTGACCCACAGATACTGACAGGAATGGGACAGATGTGACATGAGTGGGAAGGAGCACTGAAGTGTCAGAAAAGCTTGGTACGTTGAAGAATGTGGTACCCCCGAAACTTGCCTAGAATTTCAATGCAACTTGAGCTTGCTGCCATGTGGCTAAGTGGACCATTGAATATAAATTAGACATAGCTATAAAGGAATACAGGAAAGTATATTTCCCGCACATTCAGTGTGTGGACACATACCTGCCACATGCGGGGAGGCTTGTCCAAGAGTTCTAAGGATCCGCTTGGAATGTGTCTACTCCACAGACTGATTAAAGTGCCTAGAAGAGAATGAGAAAAACTAAATCATTCAGAGGCAGATTCATGGTGTGTGGAGGTGACATTGACTCTTTCAAGTCTTCTTGGTCTGGGGAAATACCAATGTATCATGATAAGTTGAGCTGACTGATTGCAGGGCATCTACTATGACAAACCTGAAATTCCACCTGGACAAATATAGTGAAATCAACAGAAGGAAAGAAAACAGAGCGAATCAGTCTGTTTAATTTATTTTTGAAATCAAACACTCCAAATCCTAGAGTAACACATAGAGGAGACATAGCAGAGAATGCAAAGTTCCTATCCTAGCAATTTAGGGTTTTGAAAAGTATCAAATCTGTTTTCAGTATGAGAATAAAAATAAATCCAGGTAAGGGACTAGACTGTGACAACCGTGCTGTTTGCAGAGACCAGGGTGAAATGAGTTAAGCGGAGAGAGGAACTTCCCAGGCAGAGGGAAGAGCAGGAAAGAGGGTGCTGGGGGAAACTTGCTAAGCATGTCCAGGAACAAAAGTTCACCCTGGCTACAGCAGGACAGCTGAGGGACAAGGAAGCTGGACATGAGTGAAGTTGGAAAGGGCCAAGGAATGGATATGGATTTGAATCTGGAAGTCACCAGGGGGCTGTGTTAAAATAAATAAATAAACATCTTGGTTTGAGATAATTGTGCAGTTGTAGGAAATGATACAGAGAGATCTTGTACCCTTTCCTCCACTTCCAATTGTTAGGGGGAAATGATGTCCTAAAGCTAATTCCATACAGGCTTTGTGGACTCCACCCCCACTCCAGACCAAAGCCATCAGGACATTGGGAAAGACAAATCCCATCACCACCAAAGGGAAGGTGGCTGGGACCTGAGGGTGGAGTTAAGCAGCCAGGTTTGGTATAAAACCAGATGCGTGGGCTTTGGGGGGTTCCCTTTTTTGGCTCTCCACCAGCTCGCAGCGCTCGGCCAGCTCTCAGGGTGCCTTTGGGTTTCCAGGTTGGCGGATCGGGTAGGATGCATTAAAGACTTTATTTCCCTATTTTCTCCGAGTTGTACATTTCCTCATTTCCCTTTCCCTTGTAAATAAACCTTTTATTAACCTTTTGTTTGTGCCTGTAGTGGAGTATAAATAAGTCCTTTTTAAGCGCGCGGGTGAGGACCCACAGCCAGGCAACCCGTTTTTATATCGGGGCTGCTCCGTAACACAAAGATAACATCTTTCCACATTATACCACATTATCAAAACCAAGATATTGCTGCATCTAATAATCCAATAATCCCACTCCCAGATATCTACCTGAAGAATGAAAAATCACTAATTCAAAAGGATATCTGGGGCCTCCCCGGTGGCGCAGCGGTTGAGCGCTTGGTTGCGAAGCTGCCCGCAGTCTCTGCAGCATCGGTTCAATCCCTGGCTGCATCCCGGCCACCGGAGGAGGGTCCCACATGGCACGCAGACCTCTCCTGCCGCCCGCTGCTCCCCTCAGCAGTGTACTTCGGTCCTTCTGCCTGCTCTGCTCCCCGCTCTGGCTCTGGTGAATTCTCTCACCCTCCCGCGCTTCTGACTATACCCAGTGCTTGTATAAATAAATAAAAATAAATCTTTTAAAAAATTTTTAAAAAAAGGATATCTGCACTCCCTATATTCATGGCAGCATGATTTACGATAGTCAAGCTATAGAAACAACCTAAGCGCCCACAAACAGCTGAGTGCCTCAGGGAGACATGGTACATACACAACGGAATACTATTCAGCTATTTAAAAAAAAAAAAAAAAGATGAACTTCTGCTATTTGTGACAACATGGATGAAACTGTAGGGGGTGATGCTCAGCAAAATCAGGAGAAAAACAAATAAGGGATGGTGTCACTTTGATGTGGAAGACAGAGAAACAAAACAAAGGGTCAGACAAAACTACACCAATGAATTCTGAGGAATTGAGGTTCTATGATAGGGAGGCAGACAGGAGAGAGCAAAGCAGGGAGGGGGCACAATGGGCTGTGGTGGAGAACTAAGGTGCCTTGGTAGTGGGGGTGGGGTGGTGACATACATCTGAAGAGTGTGATCCTATACCTGTGAATTATATACAGTGTTGCAAACCAATGTTACCTCCGTTTAAAAAAAGAGAGAAAAACTGCAAGATATTGACACTGAAACCAGAAAGATACAGAACATTTCTATCACCATAAGAAACCCCCCTTTTTAAAATATCCCTGCTCATTTTCCCCTCAACCCACTTCCTCCACAAACCCTAGAAAGCGTTGATCTCATCACAATTTCTAAAACTATCCTCATTTCAAGAATATTATATAAATGAAACCATACACTCAACATAATTCTCCAGAGATTCATTCAGCATGGTGTATACTAATGATCCCCAGCTTCACTGCTGAGTAGTGTCCTACAGTATGATCTGTTTAAACACTGACCTGCTGAAGGACAACCTGTTGTTTCCAGTTTGGGGGTATTATGAATAAAACTGATATAAACATTCGTATACAGGTTTTCATGCGAACATAAGTTTTCCTTTCTCTGGGATACATGCCCAGGAGTGCAATTGCTGGGTTCTATGGAAGTTGTAAGCTAAGTTTTCTTTTAAAACCTGCCAAACTGTTTTGTAGGATGACTGAACCATTTTACATTCCCACCAACAATGCATGACTGATCCAGGTTCTGTGCATCCTTGCCAGGATTTGGTGTTGTAACCACTTTTTATTTTAGCCATTCTGCTTTCCTCTAATGATTAGTGATGGTGAGTATCTGTTTATGTGCTGCTTTATAATCTGCATATCTTCTATAATAAAAAGTTGTTTCATGCTTTTCATTCCATTTTCTAATTGGAGTTTTTATTGTTTTACTGTAGAGTTTTGAAAATTTATATTCTTAGTGCTAGTCCTTTGCCAGACACATGGTTTACAAATATTTCTTTCTATAGCTTGTCTTTTCATCTTGATGGGGGTCTCTCACCAAACAAATGCTGTTAATCTTGATAAAGTTCAATTTATCAATTTTTTCCTTCTATGAATTATGTTTTTGGTGTAAACTCTAAAAGTGCTTTAGTTAGACTTATATCCTGAAGATTTCATATTTTTCATCAAATTTTTATAATGTTAAATTTTATAGTTAAGGTCAGGATGTATTTTTTTGGGGGGGGGTTTCTCAGGCTTTTATTGAGCATTTACATGTAGTGCAGCACAGGATGTATTTTTTTAAAGATTTATTTATTTATCCATGTAAGAGCTGGGGTACAGGCCAGAGATGTGGGGGTGAGAGGATCCACCAGAGACAGAGTGGGGAACAGAACAGGCAGACTGACTGAAATACACTGCTGAGAAAAGCAGCAGGCAAGACAGGAGAGGTCTGCTGTGCCACGTGGTTATCTCCCTGGCCAGCCGGGGATTGAACTCGTGATGTAGAGGCTGTGGATTGCTTCATAGTGCAGTGCCTAACCCCTTGCGCCACCAGGGAGGCCCAAGGTCAGGATATATTTTGAGTTAATTTTTGTATGAGCCATAAGACTTAAGTCAAGATCAGGATTTTTGGATTTTTTGGCTCATGGCTATCCAAATGCTCTAACAATACTTGTTGCAAAGGCTGTTTCTATCATTACATTGTTTGTTTTTTACCTTTGTCAAAAATTAGTTGACTATATTTGTGTGGGTCTGTTTCCTCTGTTTTGTTCCATGGATACATGTGCATCTCCCTCTGCCAGAGTCACACAGTCTTAATTATTGTAGCTATAGAACAAATCCTGAAGTTAGGTCAATTAATTCCTCCAATGTAGTTTTTCTATTTCAAAATTGTTAAAGCTATTCTGGCTCATTTGCCTTTCCATATAAATTTGAGAATAATCTTGCCTATAATCTGCAAAAGCCTTGCTGGAGTTTTGGGAAGAATTGCATTAAACCTGACTATCAGTTCGGAGAGGATTGACATCTTTACTATGGACGAGGCTTCTAGTCCACAAATGGAGCTTATCAATTTATTTAGATCTTCCATCAGTGTGGCTTTCAGCACATAAGTCCTACAGATAATTTATACCTAAGCACTTATTTTTGGAGTGAGAATTTCCACATAAGCAATCCTACTGTCTACAAATAGGGACAGTTTTGTTTCTTCCTTTCTGACTTCTATACTTTTAATTTCCTTGTCTTTTTACCCTGTCTAGAAATTCTAGTACTATGTCAAATGAGTGGAGATTGCAGACATTCCTGATATTTCCTCTGATCTGAGAGCAAAGAAATCAGTCTTATATAATTAAGAATTAGTTGTAGATATTTATGAAGTTTTCAAATTGAGGAAGTTCTCTGCTGCTATTGTCCTAAGTTTTTATCATAAATGGGTGTTGGATTTTATGTGATCTTTCTTCCTTAGTCATTAATGTAGTGAATAATTGTAAAGGCCAGGAACGGACACAGTGCAGGTTTTCTGATCCAGCAGACCAGGTAAAGAAGGAGTCAGAGTCCTTAGTGGTTTTGCAGGTTTTTATTGGGATTACCAGGTACACGGCAGGCAGGGGGGCTTCAGGTCTTCAGACCGGCAGGCAGCAGGTCTTCACTCTATGGGCTCTCCGGCCTTCTCTCGGTTTCTGCTTGGCTTCTGTTCGTTCTTGGTTTCTCTTTTGGCTTCTCCTTTGGCTTCTACTGGCATCCCCATGACACCGCCCTTAAAAGCACAGTCTTAGGTGTGAATCCCATCTACCTATGCCCACACCCTATTCCAGGTGCCCGCCATCAGGCATGCATTCAGGACCTCAAGGATCCATCCTCTATCCTGATGGTGGGAGGGAAGAAAAGCCTGACATTTTCTTTACCTACAGTCCACCCCCTCAGGATTTTCTGCCATACAGTCTATATATATATATATATATATATATATATACACATATATACACACACACAATTTTCTTATCAAACATAAACGATGCAGCCATGGCCCACAAAAGCAAATACATCACAATATAACAACAAAATAGAACAGAACACAAATAAGTCCAGGCAGGGCCCCAACCTAGTG